TCCACTCTATCTACATTCCAACTACTGTCATCCTCCGCTCCCTATAGCCGACCCCCTCTCTTTACAAGTCCCCCAGTTGGCATCCGAAAAACAAGAACATAAAAGGGGAGAGCCAAGTGTCGAGCCCGACACCTGCCCGACATTCGTATTTTTCCAGATGCCCATAAACCTCTGTCGGTCTTCAAGTAATCCAATACCCCTCCCGGCTGGTCTCGCACGGTCAGGTCATGGGTTTATGAGCTACTGGGCGTAAACAGGTGGCTTTAGGGACAATAGCGGCACCCTTAGCCTAAGGAGGACAATAGCGGAATTACACTTAGAAGGTCCGGGGATGGTACCTCGCCGATGGAGCGTCTCTCACGGTATTAAACAATGCATACATAGTTCTTACTCTTAATTATATAATTTTGACGAGGGAAGTACGGTTACACAAGATTTTATTACTTGACCAGTAAATTTAAGTTGGACTTCATGTTTGCAATTCAGTAATCATATCTATTTCAACCCTACTTCTTAAAATCCTTTTTCATGGTACAATAGATGCAGATTTTCCATGCTTTTCAGCAGGACAAGCGAAAGAAGCAACCGCATGGAAGGCCCGTGTTATAACCCAGCTTTTCAGTGTCACATACATAGTGCATGTGATAACGCATTGTGATGGAGAAAATAATACAAGGGTTGGATAAAATGTAGTGGCAGCACTGCTGTAACATGAAAGATGTGCGTCAGGTGGCATTAGCGTCGTCTGTAGCCGATAGCAAAAGTTCAGTTGAAGTAGTGCAGTGAATGGCTCAGGTTGTTTAATTGCTCCTCACCTATCAATCTGGAGCTGGTACAATAGGCCAGAAGTGGCCGCAGTACAAGGGACTTAGTCCCAACCCACTAGTATTAAAAAGGATTCATTGAGTTGCATTGTTCATCATCTTGAAGTGCAGGAGCCCAGTTCAAGCACCCTAACAACATGTTTACGATTCGGCTGCTAGGCTTTGAACCCGCTCCCAATCTGTCAATTTTTCAACCGGGCCCGAAAGATTCATAGTTCCAATATGATAAAAACTGGTAGGTGATCAGAGTGCAGAATATCAGAGGAAATGACTTCTGGCAGTTGGACATTCTTGAACACAGAAATATCGAGCGCGTCACCATTTCCCGCAGGAGAGTGATGAGTGGGACATCGTGCTGAAATTTCACTCATTTGGTTGCAATAAATTCATTAATTTCGCTCCTGAAGGGTTGGGAACTACACTATTCCGATATGGATGTTTAGCATTCTGATCTCCTGCTAATAGCGTCTTACGTTTAAAGCATAAAGAGCTCAGCGATCTCTATATCATTCCAGGCTTGACATGGTGACTGACCGCTGGACATTACCACTCGGTCTGCAAACCTCTGTGGCTTCTATTGACACAAACGGAGGCAGGTGTATATATGGTTGTGGGGAATGCCTTTTCTTACTGCAACGGCAGTTTCTCTTTTCTTTCCCGGGTAGTGGTCAGTCCGATAAAAATGATAATTTGGAATAAAGAACGTCTCGTGTGGTTTGAAATATTTCTCTGAGAGCAGAGCCACTTCTATATGTAAGTTTTGCATGTGTTTACTGTTATATCGCTGCCTTCAAATATCATTTGTATTAAATGTTAAGACTTTGAGCGGCCTATTGACTCTTGCAGCCATTCTATTTCATTAAGTACCATTTTTGTAATGACCATTGTTTTGTCCTTTTCTGACACAGCTTCATTGAGCTTTGTGATGATCTGTTGCACTACACTGTCGACTTTTAACGTGTCATTGTTACTTGAACTGTGAGCCTGTACTCTTAGACCTGTTCACTGAATTTCCTGTTGTGGCAGATGCTGCTACACGGGATGCAGCACGCTTTTCCCGCCTGTCTTCGGTGCCTGTGGTTGCTGGTGTTGTGTGTCTAAGCGCAATGCAGCTGCGTAGGGGTGCTCTGGTGAGATGAACTTAGAGAAGAACGCTCTCCCAGAGGATCCCTTTGGGGCTTGTTGTGCACTTCTTTGCAGTTCTCTCGCATGGCTACAGCCTCAGTATGATTCTGGATGATGCTTTTGTCCTACCAAGGTTCAGTTGCTGGAGCTGTCGTAGATTCTGCATTCGTCTTCTCAGGACATACTCTTTGCAGGTTATCATCACCGCATCACAAACATCGTGGGGGTTGCTTGCAGCTGGCCGAGACATGGCAAAGTTTTGGCATTTGTAGAACTGCGTCAGGCCAGTTTGAGCTCTTAATAACTCTACCTTAATAATAATATAGTTAAGGACATTGAGCGTGTATGTCTGTTGGGAATTTATATTTCTTGTTAAGGCAACAACGAATAGCAGGAGGGTTTCCGCGTGGGTTTGTCCCCTGCGTTCTGTTCGAGTGTCCATCATTTGCCTCACCTTCATGACGTTGAGCGTTAAGTTTTCAAGGCTTTTGGAAATATCTTCCGTTGTCGTGTCTGGAGGAAGGTGTCTTTATAAGTCAGGTTCAAGCTTATGTTATTACCGACCGTCAGTCGGGTACTCCATCTTGGAATAAAGCACCCATCTGGGGCTTAAGACCGGATCTTTATTACTGTCAGACAGTTGCAGGTTTGTTTATGTGGGGCTCTCTCTTTGACAAGAGGGCGGGTCTCTCTATTGCCAGAGTCAGTAATAATGTCTGTTGTCAGTAGGTACAGTTTATATTTTACATGTTGTTAAATGTATACAGGATGTTTCACGACTTTAGGGCATAACTGCAGGAGGTGATTTCCTAGGTCTTTGTGATCAAAAAAGTTCATATAAACATGTGTCCGATTTTGGACGGTTACGGAGGTATGACCGTTTTAAACTCAGAAGAGAAGGTAACGATTACTGACAATAAACGGAACAAAATAACAAACCAGCATAATACATGATACATTTAAAGTATGAATGTAAAGTTAACTTCGTGAAATTACCTTTAATTTGAATTTATTGGTGGTTAAAGCTTATTTTCGAAAATGCCACCGCCGGCCGCAACACAGGCTGCCGCTCGGTTGTGAACCGCGCCGGACATACCAACCCACCCTGCCTTAGGTAGCTATCAAGTGTCGAGATAACGAGAACGCTCTGTCTGTAGCTGGCTAAAAATAGCGACCTGCCAGCTGACAGACGCGGTTCATATGAGGGCGTGTACGGGAATGAAAAAAAGGGTCATAACTCCGTAACCATCCAAAATCGGACTCATGTTTATATGAACTTTTTTGATCACAAAGACCTAGGAAATCACCTCCTGCAGTTATGCCCTAAAGTCGTGAAACATCCTGTATACAATATATACAAAGCCTGTCAGTCAAGTTCCGTACATCAGTGCCATTCGCATTAAATGCTATGACTTTGAAGGGTCCATGAACTCTAGTGGCCATTTTGCTCCGTGAGATTAAGACCATTTTTGTAATGGTCACTCTTTTAGCCTCCCCTCACACACCACCATTAAACTTTGTCATAATCTGCTGTACTACCGTTACTACTATTTTCAACATTTTGTCCAGGTAACTGTTTTCATTAGGGGCCCGAATTGACTGGCCTGTTGTTTGCTGTCGGTTTTGGAGTATGGCCGCAGGGACCCTATATTCCTGTGGATTTTATTTTTGGCTCCTTATGTAGCCTGGGCATGAGCCGCATAAGACACAGGCTTCTTAAAGTTCCCTATTGTTGCATGACATCACTGTTGGCGCTGACAGTATATAAAACACCTTCCAGTAGTTACTCCATTGTTGCATGCATACATTGCTTATCGGTAGCTGTGGTATTGTTGCTTGCTTACACAGCGGTTGCCTAGCAGTGGCTGTTTCTGTGGTCAGTTTGTCCATCATGACTCGGTGCTCGATGAATATAACATTCTAGCTAGAAAATGGTTTCTTCAGGTATGCCCCCAAAAACAAACAACGATTTTTTCTCGAAAACTGCTCAAACGATTTTGATTATATTTCAATAAATTGTGGAGACCATGGCCTCAAATGAAATTACATATATGATACGTTGAAGAAAGTAACAGTACGCGCACTAGGTGTGCAGAAGTTCACGCAATATATGCATGTTGTGAACTGTATAATCAGCGACTGACAATGATCTACTGAACAACAATTTCCTTTCCAAGGTAACATATTCAAGGCCAGTCATTTATTACGTAATGACAGACTGAGATCCTTCTGACGTAAATGAAGTAATAAAGCAACTAATTGTTACGAGAACCTTCCATGTTCTAGCTTGATTAATCAGTGACCACTAAATGGTCTACTGAACAGTCGATTTCGTTACCAAGGAAATGCTTTTGGAACCAATTTTACTCCCTCCCGTATGTAGTATACTCATATATGAGAAAGTGCTGTGATCATAAAAGCCTGTATCGAAATATGGACGGATTTACACGATCAGCCCACTCGATTGCAGTAGAGTGGTTTCTGGCACGCTGTATGTCTGTATGCGTGTGTGACCGTCGCTAGCGCCTGAGTGAGTGGACGGATTTAATTCATGCTCTGTAATGAATTATGTATCTGTCATGGGTTAGTGCCCGATGAATCCGAAAACTCCAGTTCCAAAAATAGGGGCCCTTCACATGGGCACTAGAACACAAAACAGCGATATCCTTGAAAAAAAAAATACTCGAATGATTTTGATTAAACTTCAGTAATTTATGGAAGCCATGTTTCTAAATAAAACTGCATGGATGATACTTATGGAGCTGAGCCCTTCTTGAGGAGAAGCCAAATCTGCAGCTACTCAAGAATTTCCCAGCATTTTATGGAACCCAGAGGTTCATTACCGTGTTCATAAGAGCCACCGGTCCCTATCCTGAGCCAGCTCAATGCAATCCATCCCATCCCGTCTCTCTAAGATCCATTTTAATATTGTCCACCCACTTACGCCTTGGTCTTCCCAGTGGTCTTTTTCCTTATGGCATTTCCACCAATATCCTATATCCATTCCTCGTCTCCCCCATTCGTGCTACATGCCCTGCGCATTGATGATGTCCTCAGGAAAACAGACGTACGTACGTATGGCCCCTGTCCATTGTTGGTCTGTGTACGTGTACACCGTGCGCGCCTCTGTATGGCTGTGCACCTCGCTACCGTATGAATGGTTGGACGGATTTTATTAGCATCTGGTAATTAAAACGTTATTCATTATAGGCTGTCCGGTGAATGTGAACATTTAGCTCCAGAAAATAGGAGCCCTTCAAATGGGCTCCAAGAAACAAAATCGTGAATGGCGATTTGATTGAACACGGCTGTAACGATAACGTTTAAATTTAAGTAATTCAGAGAAACCATCTCCGTAAATAAAACTTCTGGGTGATATCCTCAAGAATGTCGTATTCTCGAGAATGGCATGAACGGTTGGGCGATTTGTTCTTGTGCGGTGTTTAGGGGCTGCATAATTTCCTAAATTATTTATTTCAGTGTAGTTAAAGGCTGTAATCCCTAAGGACTATGAAAAATTGAACAACGATGGTTATGCAACGCCTACATGTCATAACTTGTGTACTCAGCGTTCAGCAATCGATTTTGTTTCCGGGGTAACGTAATCGAGGTAAATCATATATATGGGAAAGCACGTGTAGTGTTTCGGCTTGCTGGTCTTCGCCGACGTAGTAAATCCGTGTTGAGGCGGGGTCTAATACCTCCGCCGTAGCCCTGCGAGGCATAGGAGGCGATGAAAAGGGAACCAGTGCCTGGCGTTATAACCGGGCACCCTGTTTCTGGGGGGATATAAATATGGGGACCTGGCCCTTCAGGTTGGGGAATCTCGAATCTGAGACACTAAAATGTGATCAGTCCCGCTGGACACGGACCTGAGAATGACTGCGCTAGTGAGGACCAGCAGCAATTGTAAACTACAGACCCATCCTCTCGTCGGAGAGGATGTTACATAAGGACTACAACCGCAAGTGTTGAATTGGAAAATAAAACTTATGGTCGTGGGTCTCAAGGGGCTTGTCGCCAAGATGAACTGATTTGCGGTAAATGGCAGTGAAGTAACTTGCCTCTAACTCTGACTCTTATAAGACCCCTGCGAGTCGTAGGAGGCGACGAAAAGGGAACCCAGTACCTGGAGGTATAACCAGGCTACCCTGTTTCTGGGGGATATGAATACGGGAACCTGGCCCTTCAGGTTGGAGGAGTCTCGAATCTGAGACAGTAAAATATAGTCATGAGTCATGCGGGACTCGGACATGAGAATGTCTGCGCTGACGAGGACCAGCAGCAATTATAAACGACAGACCCATCCTCTCGTCTGAGAGGATGTTACATAAGGTCTACAACCGCAAGTGTTGACTTGGAAAATAAAACTTATGGTCGTGGGTCTCAAGGGCTTGGCGCCAAGACGAACTGATTGGTAGTAAACAGCCAGTCGTAAAGTAACTCTGACTCTGAGAACACAGTAGAACTTGATTTCGTTTCCCATCGGGACTCGATGACCATATTTTCGTTCTTTCCAAGATTTGTTTTTTTCAGATGGAGCCACCTCTACAGCGAGAAGAGGGGTCTGATTACTACTTGTCCCCCCCCCCTCAATATTTAAAAAAAAATATAGAGGAACCTTGGCT